TCCAGTCATTTATTGAAGAAACCCAGATGCACTGGACATATTCTTTCAGCCAGGAAACATTTGAAAAACTAACATTTAATTAATTAGTGATTGTTAAGATTGACTCTCACTGCCATCAAGTCAGATCTAACTCATAGTGATCCCTCATTGGGTTTCTCAGGCAATATCTCTACAGAAGTAGATTGCCCAGCCTTCCTTCTGAGGAGTGGCTGCTGGGTTTAAACAGCCAGCATTCTTGTTAGCAGCCAAATGCCTTAAGTACCACCAGAGCTCCAATTCCCTAAAATCCTAAAATTACAGTTTTCCTGGAAATGTTGTATCTTTGGATCCATGGCATCCAGGAAAGAGCGAGCAAGTGGCAGAGTGGTCCAGGTAAGGGGAGGGACCCCAGCCCCATCATCCCTCCAAGTGGCAGGAAAAGCAGAGGGGAAAGATAAGTGGAAGCAAGGGCATCCAGGACAGAGTGAGCAAGTGGCAGGGATCTGAGTAAGGGGAGGGTGGAGAGGTTTCAAACAGCTAAGGGAGGCAAATTTATCTGTCAGTTTGTTGTAGTGTGGTGGCGTGTTGCTGTGAGGCTTGAGGCTGTGCCACTGATGTTTCAAACGCCAGCAGGGTTGCACATGGTGCACAGGTTTCAGAGTGGCTTGCAGACTGAGATGGAATAGGAAGAAGGAAGAGACCATCCACCTCTCAAAGAATTGGCCAGGGAAAACCTTATGAATAGCAGAGAAACACTGTCCGATACCATACAAGGCAACTATACGAATAGCCTGGAAATGCTGTCAGACACAGTGTAGGAAGATAAGCCACTTAGGTAGGAAGGCTCTCAAAATACTACTGGGAAAGAGTAGCACTATCAGAGCAGAACCAACCTTACTGATATGGATAAAGTAAAGTTTTCAAGACATCCATATACTGATATGACACGATTCAAATTGAGGAGAAACAGCTGCAAACATCCATTGATAATCAGAACATGGAACGTACGAAGTATGAATATAGGAAAATTGGAAGTTGTCAAAAATGAAATAGAACATATGAAGATTGATATCCTAGGCATTAGTGAGCTGAAGTGGACCAGTTTGGCTGTTATGAATCAGAAAGCCATATGATCTACTATGCCAGGAATGACAATTTGAAGAGGAATGGTGTGGCATTCATCATCCCAAAGGATGTTTCAAGATCTGTCATAAAGTACAATGCTGTCAGTGATAGGATAATATCCATATGTCTACAAGGAAGACCAGTTAATACAACTAGTCTTTAAATTTAAGCACTTTCTACCAAAGCCAAAGATGAGGAATGTGAAGATTTTTACCAACTTCTGCAGTCTGAAATTAAACAAATGTGCAATCAAGATGTGTTAATTATCACTGGCGACTGGACTGCAAAAGTTGGAAACAAAGAAGAATCACCAGTAGCTGGAAAATGTGGCTTTGGTGACAGAAATGACACTGGAGATTGCCTTATAGAATTCTGCAAGACCAATGACTTATTCATTGCAAATACCCTTTTTCAACAATACAAATGGCAGCTATATACATGGACTTCACCAAGTGGAGTACACAGGAATCAGATTGCTACATCTATGGCAAGAGGCGATGGAAAAGCTCAATATGATCAACCAAAACCAGGCCAGGAGCTCACTGTGGAACAGACCATCAACTGCTCATATGCAAGTTCAACTTGAAGTTGAAGACAATTAAAACAAGTCCACAAGAGCCAAAATATGACTTTGAATATATCCTTCCTGAATTTAGAGACCATCTAAAGAATAGATTTGATGCATTGAACACCAATGACTGAAAACCAGAATTGTGGGATGACATCAAGAACATCATCTATGAAGAAAGAAGAGGTCATTAAAAAGACAATAAAGGAAGAAAAGATGAAAACTGGTGTCAGAAGAGACTCTGAAACTTGTCCTTGAGCAGAGAGTAGCTAAAGCAAATGGAAGACATGACAAGATAACAGAGCTGAACAGAAGATTTCAAAGAGCACTCAAGCAGACAAAGCCAATTACTATAATGAAATGTGCCAAGACCTGGAGTTAGAAAAACAAAAGGGAAGAACACACTCAGCATTTCTCAAGCTGAAAAACTGAGGAAAAAATTTAAGTCTCGAGTTGCAATATTGAAAGATTCTGTGGGCAAAATATTGCATGATGCAGGAAGCATCAAAAGAAGATGGAAGGAATACACAGTCACTGTACAAAAAAGAACTGGTAGATCTTCATCCATTTCAGGAAGTGGCATATGATCAAGAACCAATGTTACTGAAGAAGGAAGTCAAAACTGCACTGAAGGAATTTGCAAAGAACAAGGCACCAGGACTTAACGGAATACCCATTGAGATGTTTCAACGAATGGGTGCCCCACTGGAGGTACTCCCTCAGTTATGCCAAGAGATTCGGAAGACAGTTACCTGGCCAACTGACTGGAAGAGATCCATATTTGTACCCATTCCAAAGAAAGGTGATCCCACAGAATAAGGAAATTATAGAAGAATATTAATATTGCACACAAGTAAAATCTTACTGAAGATAATTCAAATAGACTTGCAACAATATACTGACAGAGAACTTCCAGAGGTGCAAGCTGGATTCAAAAGAGTACGTGGAATGAGGGATATCATTGCTGATGTCAGATGGATCTTTGTTCAAAGCAAAGAATACCAGAAAGATGTTTACTTGTGTTTTATTGACTACACAAAAGCATTTGATTGTGTGGAACATAACAAATTGTGGATAACATTGAGAAGAATGGGAATTCCAGAACACTTAATTGTACTCATGAGGAACCTGCACATAGACCAGGAGGCTGTCATTTGAACAGAACAAGGGGACACTGCAAGGTTTAAAATCAAAAAGGAATGTGTCAGGGTTGTATCTTTTCCCCATACTTATGCAATCTATATGCTGAGCAAATAATCCAAGAAGCTGGACTATATGTAGAAGAACATGGTATCAGGATTGGAGGAAGAATCATTAACAACCTGTGATACACTGATGACACAACTTTTCTTGCTGAAAGTGAAGATGACTTGAAGCACTTACTGATGAAGTTTGAAGAATATAGTCTGCAGTGTGTATTACATCTCAATATAAAGAAAACAAAACTCCTCACAACTGGAACTATAAGCAGCATCGTGATAAATGAAGAGAAGATTGAAGTTGTCAAAGACTTCACATTGCTTAATTCTACAACTGATGCCAATGGAAGCAGCAATCAGGACATAGACGATGTATAGCAGTGGGCAAGTTGGCTGCAAAGGACCTCTTTCAAGTGCTGAGGAGCAAGGATGTCTCCTTGAGGACTAAGGTGTCCCTGACACAAGCCGTGATATTTTCAATCGCCTCATATGCATGTGAGAGCTGGACAATGAATAAGGAAGACCAAAGAAGAATTGATGCTTTTGAGTTGTGGTGCTGGAGAAGAATGCTGAAAGTACCTTGGACTGCTAAAAGAACTAACAAGTCTGTCCTGGAGGAAGTGCAGCTGGAATGCTCCTTGGAAGCAAGAATGGCTAGACTTTATCTCACCTACTTTGGTCATGTTATCAGAAGGGACCATTCCCTGGAGAAGGATGTCATGCTTGGTAAGGTGGATGGTCAACATAAGAGTGGAAGGCCCTCAACGATATGTATTTACACAGTGGCTGCAGCGATGGGCTCAAGTATAGCAGGGATCGCAAAGCTGGTGCAGGACCAGGGAGTGTTTCGTTCTACTGTGCATAGGGTCGCTATGAGTCAGAGACAACTTGATGGCACCTAACAACAACCACCTTTATAGAAGCAGATCACCAAGCCTTTCTTATGCAATATCAGTGGGTTTGAACACAAACCACCAGCCTTTAAGTTAGCAGTTGAACGCAAACAGTTTACACCACCCTGAAACCTTATATTATATTTAATCCTTGTTAAATATCAATGGCTGTCCATAACTGTTCTTTGGGGGAATTAAAGACAGAGTCAGAGTCCATCCTTGGGCCAGAGTGCTGAAGGGCAGATAGATGCCCTGAAGCAAGGTAATAGGGGAGAAATGATTCCCAAGAGCAAGGTAAATGATTGAAGAAAGGAATCATGGCAAAGAGGTCAGCTTTTCCCCAAGTGGAATTCTCCTTTCCTTTTCCATCATGGAGTATATAGATTTCATGTAATTAAGGAAGTTGTCAGGTAGCCTCAGAAAGCATTGTAAAAATAAATAGCTATGCATATGCTGAAGTCCCCAACAAGAAACATGGAAGTCTGACAGGATTGTGTTTTCTGAGAAAGGCCACAGAACATCCCATTTATTGGGAAGACATGAGAAGGGTGGGATATTAGGCATCAGATGGACATTGAAACAGAAATTCAGAAGAGGAAGAAGACCAGAGGCATAGGAGGGACAGAGTAAAATATTTCAGTAAATCATTATAAAGGAAGCATGAAGATACTTGGTAGAGTATATGACATAACTCTGGGATCCTGTCACAGGTCAATGTAACAGTAAAGGTTACAAAAATGTGGGTGAGATTAAGTAGGCATTATTTGAAGGGAAAATGGTTGCAAAGCACAGAAAGTCATACAGCCAAGCCACTGACGGTTCCTATTGTTTATGGGAACAACTTGATGTATTATTCTGACAAACGGGGAAATGAAATTTTCATAGAGACTTTTTTTTCCATTTAACGAACATTTACAGAGCCACTACTTATTCTCAATGGACTGGGAGATTCTGCTAATACTCTCTATCTAATTTCAAAATGGTCCTGTAACTAGAATGGAAATCAAATCAGAAGGATATTTTTCATGAACTCTGTTCTGAAGTTCTGAGTAAAACAGGGTGCAATCACTTGTACAACAACATTGCTGATGATCAAGTAAAAGAAAAAAATGTGCTTCCACTGTCTTGATCACATGTTCTCCATATAGCATATTGAAATATTGTTTTTGTATTCTATTCTTCAGATTCAGAATTTATGATTTAAAACACAGGCTCATTCTATAACTAAAATCACTGATGAGAAATCACTCTGCGATAACATTCATCCTGCTAGGACTAACAGATGACCCACAACTACAGGTTTTTCTTACAGCGTTTCTGTTTCTCACCTACATTTTCACTGTTGGTGGAAATCTAATTATTATTCTCCTCACTCTTGTGGACTCTCACCTTAAAACACCCATGTACTTTTTCCTACAGAATTTTTCCATCTTAGAAATAATGTTTACAACTGTCTGTGTCCCTAGATTCCTGTACAGCATGACAACTGGAGACAAAAGGATTACCTATAATGCTTGTGTGATCCAATTATTTTTTATCATCCTCATCGGGGCAACAGAATTCTTTCTTCTAACCACCATGTCCTATGACCGTTATGTGGCTATCTGCAAGCCCCTGCACTACCCCACTATCATGAATGGCAGGGTGTGCACTATATTGGTCCTTTGTTGTTGGCTGACTGGATTACTTGTCATAATCCCACCGCTTAGCCTGGGAGTTCAGCTAGATTTCTGTGACTCCAATCTCATTGACCATTTTGGCTGTGATGCATCTCCTCTTCTGAAGATTGTATGCTCAGACACACAATCTGTAGAACAAGTTATCTTAACCATGGCTATCCTGACGCTCATATTCACACTAGTGTGTGTAATTGTGTCCTACACACACATCATCAAGACCATTTTAAGACTCCCTTCTGCTCAGCAAAGAAAAAAGGCTTTCTCCACTTGTTCTTCCCATTTGATTGTAGTTTCCATCACCTATGCAAGTTGCCTCTTCATCTATGTCAAACCAGCAAAGGAAGGAGTGGCCCTTACTAAGGCAGTGTCATTGCTCAACACCTCATTTATCCCTTTGATGAATCCTTTCATTTATACCCTACGAAATAAGCAAGTCAAACAAGCTTTTAAGGACTTGATAAAAAAGATTGTATTTCTTTCAGAGCATTAAGAGACTTTAAAATTAAAATATGTATACATATAATTGTTTCTCCTATTACTACATGTTCTGATTCAAACACAAATTAAAGTTTGATTAACTACTAATTTTTTTTCCTATTATTTTTAGAACCAAAGAATGACATAAAGTTTACAGTCTTATTTCAAAGACAATGACTTTGATCGTTGTACATTTTCATAAGTGGGCATGAAAATAGATTTCTAAAAAGTCCACACAAGACTCACCATCCTTGTGCTAAAACACGCACAAAAAAAGACAGCAACAAAAATTTGAGTTCTATTTCTGCCTATTCATTTATTTACATTAATAACTTTTTCAGGACAAAATGTATCTCTGAATTGTCTCCTCGTCTGGAGTCCACTGCTACAAGAAAAATTTGCAGAGTTCATTTATTCCTTGCTTTTTCTAATGCCATCTATCCTGCTACAGGAAAAGAGCTCAAAGCTTTCGCTTTCTCCTTAGTCAACAAGAAAGAAGAGTAAATAGATTAAGATGGAAATATTTCATCATACTAAATATGTTATTGGGAGCTCTGGTAGTATAGTGCCTAAGGCACCTGACTGCTAACCAGAAGCTGGCGGTTCAAACCCACCAGCCACTGCTCAGAAGGAAGGCTGGGCAATCTACTTCCGTAGTGATACCGCCTCGGAAACCCAAGGAGGGGTCGCTATGAGTCGGGTCTGACTCGATGGCACATAACAACAACACCAAATATGTTATTAAAATGGAACTTAAAATTTTTCTGTAAAGGATAAAAAGCAAAGAGAGGGCCTTCTTAACATCTACTTTCTTATTCACAAAGCAAAAAATGAAAGCAAAGGAATAGATGAAGAAGCCAAAAAGCCAATAAGACCCTGAATTTACATTCTGGCCTTCTTACATAAGTAATTCACTGTAAACAGTGTTGTTTAACTTACTTAGGTATCTTCTAATTACCAGTTACTTGGCAAATGAAATGTCTTCATCACTAGAAAGAAAAAGTAATCTAGTGAGTGCTTGGGGAGCTCTGGTAGCATAGTGGCTAATGAAATGTCTTCATCACTAGGAAGAAAAGGTAATCTAATGAGTGCTTGAACAATGATTTCGGAAATCCTCAAATATGTCTTGGAATTTGCAGTCTAACACGTCAAATTCTGGGCTTAAAGTTCTAGAATCCCAGTACTCTTATTTTTTCTCAAGACTGTGATACATAAATCCTCTAAAAAGCCAGGTGAATAAGGACATTTCCTTCATTGTGAATGAAGGACATTAAGCTTGAGGACAATGTGAAGAGTTCATCAAACTCTACAGGGGTTTTTTAGTGTCAATTCATACATATTGACAGCTGAAATTAACATTAATGAGTCATAGCATCATAATAGAATATTAGTTCCAGTAATCTCAAGGCAGTGGTCTAGGATTGGATAGTTTTCCTTATGAAGCAGAATAAATATAGAGAAAAGAGTTTTATTCTCCCAACCTCTCCCAATCTTTCTCCTCAAAACAAAGAGATAATATATCTGCGTGATATAAATGATTTTCTAATAGCCCATATCCATTTCTCTCAAATTTGAACCACTGGAGTTAGGGTGTTTTCCTGTGAATTTCAATACTTGCTGCATGCACCCAGCACCTTATGGTCCAGCCAGTGCCATAGATATTTCACAGAAACTTTAGATCAGTGCTTTAAATACTGTATTTGAAAATCACCTATAAATCTTAAAATACAGATTATTATTCAATTTGACAGGATGGAACTTGAGACTGTTCATTTCTAATAAGCTTCCAGATGATGCTGTTGCAACTGGTCTGATGACCAGAATTTGAGTAGCAAGACTTTAAGATGATGACAGGTAATGTCAGGTATAGTTAGGTATTCAAATAACCAGTTCTTACCTCCATATTAGTTGATGATGTCTGTGTCTAAGAATGCCTTGGGGCAAACTTGGAAATGTAGTAGTCTCATGAAAGTCAGCCATATAGTCTAGATATAAGCAACACAGTTTTCTGCAGTAACTTGACTCTCTTTTTTCCTTTCCCTGTGTCACATCACTCAGAGAGAGGAAAACTTGCTAAGAGGTACAACACAGAACCATGGAGCCCTGTTATATGTTGATCTGGCATCAAAGATGATGAGAGTTGCATGTATATTAGTTTTGACTTCTATAATATCTTTAACTGATAAACATAAACCTTATCAAGAGCTGTAAGAAAATTATAACTCTCATGTACTAAGCAAAGAGCACATAGTACAGGCAGGACTGGACAATATACTGAGAAAATATTTCTACCTCTAGCTCCAAAAGGGTGATAATTTGGGATTCTCTGCACAGTATCTGACATATAAAACCCCTATATACAATTATCTCAGGCTTCTAAATCTTTCCATCAAAGCTTTCTCTGCATTTATCCCTTGTTTCACTCCCTTCTGTCACCAATTTCATCTAAACTCTTACCATCTCAACACTAGTATTCTTGTAAAATGTCCTCATTGGTCTCCTTATATTTCACCTCTTCTTCTGAGGATTCCACAAATTATCTCGAGAACTCCTTCCTCTTCTTAGGTCCTTCTAGTTTGTCATAAATATCTACCAAAAAACAAACCTACTGCCATGGAGTCAATTTTGACTCATAGCAACCATGTCAGATAGACTAGAACTTGCCCATAGTGTTTCCAAGGCTATACATCTTTAGGAAGCAAAGTGCCTCATATTTCTCCCATGAAGTAGCTGGTGGTTTGAACCACTGACTTTTTGGTTAGCAGCCAAATGCTTTAACCACTGCACCACTAGAGCTCCTCTTTAATTATCTAGAGAAGACATACAACAACAACAACAACAACAACTGAGAAGACATACACACGTTTTACAGCCTACATCAAAATTCTGGGATATAAGATGCTCTTCTAAAGCTATGACCTATCTAAAGTTATTTCTACATATCTGCATCCTCTCTACAAATTATATTTTCCCAATTTTTTTGGAAAAAAAAACCTCTTTATTATACTATGTGTGAATCCAGAGCTCTAGAGGTCAACTTTACCTTAGCATTCTCAGACATATTCACTCATCATTGCTCTTCTAAGGAATATCTGCCCTGTACCAGTCTGGTTCTATATATCAGTGGGTTTAGTATATGAAATAATTTTGTCATCATAAAGAACTGTTCTTTTTTTTCCTGTGTTTGATTTAACTTGAACATGTTTATACTTCACTGGTGACCATCCCATGATCACAAATATATATCCAAATTAGAGTAGAAAAATGTTTTGAGTTACTTTAGGTAGCCAATTTAGATCATTAAGACTCACCTTCAGGATCTAAGTTGACTGTCTGCAGAAACCCAAATCACCTTTTTACTCTGATATTTATTAGGGTAGAAAATATAATTTAATAGAGTAATATAATAGTAAAGTAGATAATATTTATCTACTAAAATATTTATTGAAAAATTAAACCAAACCAAACTCACTGCCGTTGAGTGGGATCCAACTCATAGTGACCCCTTCTTTGGGTTTCCAAGGCAGTATCTCTACAGAAGTAGATTGCCTGACCTTCCTTCCAGGGAGTAGCTGGCGGGTCTGAACCACCAGCTTTCTGATTAGCAGTCAAATGCCTTAGGCCCTACACCACCAGAGCTAAAACCATATATATATATATATATGAGCTCTGGTAGCATAGTGGCTAAGGCACTTGCCTGCTAACCAGAAGGCTGGAGGTTCAAACCCACCAGCCACTCCTCGGAAGGAAGGTTGGGCAATCCTACTTCCGTAGTGATACTGCCTCGGAAACCCAAGGAGGGGTCACTATGAGTCAGGGCTGACTCAACGGCACATAACAACAACAACAACTATATATATATATATATATATATATATATACACACACACACACACACACATATATACACCACTACTTCTTGATGATGCACTACTGCTATGAATACCCAACCTTATGGCTTATCAGATCAAAAACATGCAATTACTAATAGATAAGAGGAGCCCTGTGGCACAGTGGTTGAAGTTCTTGAGCCCACCAGCTTCTTCTTGGGAGAAAAATGTGGCAGTCTGCTTCCATAAATATTTACAACCTTGGAAACCATACAGGACAGTTCTATACTGTCCTCCAGGGTCACTAGGAGTCAGAATCAACTCAACAGCAAGGGATTTGTTTAAGGGTTCTAATAGGTATGTCAGGTCACTTGGTAAGTACTAGTTTATAGTAAAGCATTTAATCTCTATCAGGACCATATAGCAAACAAGAAGTTCTCTTACAAAAGAATCGTTAACTGCAGACAATGGCATGGCTTTGCTCTAAAATCATAAAGGCTCACATTATGATTCAAGTACAGGGGCCTGCCAAGGCTTCCATATTTTATCTCTATACCATAAAATATTCCAAGCAACATAATATCTTCAGAGTCATATAGTTTAAGTGGCAGAGCAGTAGGGCAGCACTCAAAACTGACATTTCCTTCGATTATTCAGGAAATAGGTGAGAGTATCATACTCAAGTGAGACATATGTTGCCTCTCAAATGAAAAGTGATCCACTGGTCACACTACAACTTGACACTATGTAAGGAATATCTTGACATATCCTAGACCACCAGACCCCTAGAAATGTCATTGAGAGAGCAGGCCCTTAAATTTTGGTAGGCTTTTATTTTCAACTCATTAACATGCATATGTTTTTATGATCATCTCTATTTTTGGCTTATGAGGTCCAAACAACATGATGGCTTTGAAATATTGGAACAGAATGATGTCCTGTAGAATAGAGAAACAATCAAGCTCCTTACTGACTAAAAGTCTGGAGACTTAATATACCCTTATAGTAGGAGCCCTTGGGCGGTGCAAATGGTTAAGCATTCAACTGCTAGACAAAGTGTTGGCAGTTCAAACCCACCTAGAGCACCACCAGAGACCTGGCAAACTGCTTCTTTAAAAACTCTTTGAAGCAGTTCTACTTTGCATACATGGGGTCACCATGAGTCAGAATCAGCTAGACGACA